GCGGCGAGTGGGTCGTCAGTGCAAGGGTGACATAGAGGAGATCGTGTGAGGAGGAAACAGTATGAAAGAGTATGGACTAACATGGATGCAGGTGAAAAGTACAGGAGAAGCCAGACAGAATCAAGTGGAGACGTGCAGTTGAATGTAGCCGTATGTTCCACTAGGAACCCTAGGGGTCAATAATAATAATTATTATTATTTTGAATGCAGCAGATCTCCACACTAATCTCAGAATAATAGACATTTATGTATTTCATTGTCATTTGTTCGCTGAATTTTCCATAATAAATGGGTGTATTACAATGATTAAATAAGCTGTACATATGTTGTATGTGAAATTATGTAGAGAATTTTTCAGACCGTCTGTACCGACTCACGTATACACTAAGAAAGTTTGTGAATTGATTGATGGTGACTAGCAGTAGAATAGAATTTAGGATACTCATCTCATCGTGTTTCGGTTTTTTGAGGATTCGTTCTTTTGGGTGTACTCGCGTCTCCGAGGGAATGATAATATGCTCCCGTTGACGCTTTGAAGCCAGCACCTATTTTTTTAAGGACATGGTTTAGCGCGAATTGAACAATCTGGTCCCAGTGGTTGAATGGTATTTGGGCTAGCTTGCCTTGTAACTGGAAGGTCCTGGGTTCGAACCCCAATGGGTACGTAATGCTGATGATTCCCAAAAATAGGTTAAAACAGCTGTCCAGTACTCCCTGGTAGTCAAATGCTTCTCTAACTGATGTCAATCCATAGTCAAACTCGTAAAAACAAAATTATTCATACCTAACCTATTGATGAATGATGTTTTTGAGACTTATAGAAAATATACAAGATCCCTTAATTTCCTTCGAGTGTAACATTCAGCAGTTTACGTCGGTGGTTCAGTGTCAGAACACTCGAAAACTGCGCCATATGTGGTCGGAGGTTCAATCTCCGACGGAGGCACTGTTAAACCCCGCTTAGGCTTTAGTAAAACTGGTAAATTAGGAAGACGGGGCTTGAGTCAGGCTACCAATGACACCAGTAAAAAGAAACATCACTGCTGCTGAAACGTGGAATCTCTAGCTTGAAGCCGTGTATGTTCCGTTCGGAATGCAAAGGAGTGATACACCAATGGTATGAAAGCTAACAGAAAATGTGAATATGAGTATATGCTGACGAGCTCGTAGACCGTTGAGCAACTGGGGCCCGATCCAATGACCAACCCATGAATTCTAACTTCTGCCAATTCGCGATATAGCGCAACCGCTAGCCAATGTCTTCGGCGAGTATTTGTCCTCACACTCGACCTGCTGCACCCTACTGGTCACGACTTCCCACTAGGATCCCAGGTAACTGCCTACCTGAATAGAGCCAGTCACCAGTGAGCATCTCGTTGATATTCAAACAAACCAATACTTGAAAATTATTTCTGTCCCAGTGCGAAACGAAACTAAGACTACATAAATAAATAATACTACGTGGTTGTGGATTTATTCTTAATATTCAAGCGTGTGCAACGGTTATATAGCGCTGGCTTGAAATCTGTCACACCTCGCATACACTGATCTCACTCATTTCGACTAACTTAATCTAACCCAAAAGAATTTTTTTTCGTAAGAATTCTCTTAGGTATCTAATGTATCTCAATTTAGAAGCGTTAGGACTGACAAACTTCTTTGCCAACGGTAAGTTCGTGGTTTATACATGTGCTGACATGATAAACTACTATTCGACAGTTTTGATTCGTTTATTGAGGGCTTAATGTTTTGAGGATTCCAATGTCATACAACCAATCAGATTCTTTTTATTTATAGCGTAAATTTCTAAGGGTTTGATAAATGTAAGACGCCATGGATTCTGTCTAATAAAAGAATTAATTGTTCCTCTCATTCTGACTTTTGTATCTATCTCAGTTTGGGTTTGTCTGTCTGGTTTCAACATAGAACTGTTGCACCGATGTGCAACAGTTCAAGTCGCCACACTTCACTCAGAACACAAAGCCAGAGAAGAAGAAAGTAAAAAAGAAACGCAAAATAGAGACAGTAAACGGAGATATGAGGTTATATCGAAGAACAATACAGTTTTATTAGGTATTATAATAGACAAGGAGTCGATGCATCTCTGACAGCTATTGAGAACGATGAGTTTGAGTCATATCACCAATTGTCTCCAACCAGTGGTGTTTATCCTCCCGAGGACCCCAAGCAGGAAGCCAGTCTACATCTTCCGACGTGGCAGGCTGGATTAAACTAACTGTTGTGGATTTCATTGACTGATGAAGTCATATTTTGGTTTGACCACCACTGGCTCTTTTCCAACCTTATCAATCGTATATCAGCTAACATTGTCCGTCGAGGAAGGCGATGGCTAGGAATGCATGCGTGACACGCGACCTAACCGTCTAAATCGATGTAACTTCACAGCCTCGTCGATGGATTTTCCCTCCTTACTTAGCACTCGACCAAAGCCTCACCTCAATATTGCTCACCCTATTATACCACCACATCACACGGGAGATAGAACGCAGACATCTATGGTCAAAGACGGCTAGTTTTTCCAAGTCTTCCACTCTCAATGGCCAGGTCTCACACCCATAAAGGAGGACGGAGCGGACTGCTGAGCGGTGCAGTTTAGGTAATAATTTCAAGTGGCCCTTGGTTATGCTGTTGTGTTTTGAAGACGCATTCTAGTCAGCTTAGACTAACCCACAACCTAGTATCCGTTCATCATAAAAAGATGTTCTATTACCTAGTTGCAGAGATTTTTCTGTCTACTTATTCTCTAATCAGTCTGAGTATTGTTCATCAGTGCCGAATATACTCAGCTTCACGAAGGACTAGGGAAGGATTCTTTTTTAATCTGACAGATTAGACTGATGAACATTTGCGCAGATTTCTATCCTGGTTGGTGTTTGTCAGTCATTCGGTCAGTTAAACTAGTCTTAACTATTCTTTTGTTCGTTGTGTTTAGTGTGACTTTATTGCGTCTTGGAGCCTCAAAGTCATAGATTTCCTATTGACTGACTGGTGTTCGATTCAGCTTGAGATCCTTATTGATAAATGTAGAGTTGTTAATACATGTAAATTATTGGTTATCAGTTTTCGGTATATCACTCCAACTTATTAGTTCTAGGGGAGTAAATGTTCTTATTATGATGGATAACATGTGCTACTGGTCGATCTGACTTGTTAAGTAACCAGTCACATGATGCAGTAGTGTTTAATAGGCAAATCAAAAGTGGGCTAAATAGTAGACACACGTTTACCTTGTTTAGGGCTAAAATTATTTAAGGTGAGTCCAGATTGCCTCCGCTTAGAGAGCCAGCGCAATTCAAGTCACCTGAATTCTTGTTGGTTACTTGAGCAGGTGGGTAATAATAATAGACGAATTGATGTAGTATTCATTGAAGCATCAAGTTTTCAATTCGGCCACTTAACAAAACGACATATCACATGTGGGGTGGGTGTTAGGAGTATATTGTACCCAATTGACGAAAAATCCTGCTGCACATCGGCTACTTATTTGTTAGCACACGTCAACATGAATGGATCATTTTCAGCCTTTGAGAAACTCACATTCCCATTGAAATTTGGAGATACATATCACTTAGTTACGAAATGATAAACTTTTTTGGACAGTACTGTTCCAATAACAACCGGATAGAAAGTAATATGGAAAGTTGTTGAATAAGTCTGTACGTGTGTGTATGAAAAACTCGTAGATGTATATTTCAATGTTGAGTCCCATTAAGCTCGAAGTGTGAGTTTACAGCTTCTTACTAACTGACTGACTTCTTACAACTTTGTAGCACTCTTACAGTGGATCATTTTCTCGTGTCACTTAGCTGCACGATCTCAGGTAGTCCGGCTTCGAACCCTGACTAGCGCACGTCTAAACTGTGCCTAATTTGCCAACCCAGAAAAGAGGAAAGGTTGAACATGAGGCTAGCACCCCCCACCCCCCGCCATCTCGTAGGATAATACAACAACATGGCTACTGAAACTTTAAAACTCAAGCTTGAAGGCCTATGTTACGCTGGAAACGCAGGGATTGGAGAAAAATAAGTGTCATCAATTAGACCAGGGAGTACTCGACAGCTGTTTTGTCCGCGTTTGGAACTCGCCACCAGTATGAACGCAGTAAAGTTCGAATCCAACACTTTCACGTTACAAGGTGGTGAGCTCATAGACCATTTATAGCCATTGGGCCGATGAATTCTAAATTCTGCCAGTTAGCGATATATATAGCACCACTGGCAGCCACTGTAATTGGCGATTAACTATTCTCTTACCTGACTTGGGGGAGCCTGCTGATTACGGCTTCTCATTAGACCTCCAAGTAACTTTTTGCATTACGGCAGTTGCTAGTGAGCATTACGTATATTATTATTATATCCTTTAATTCCTAAAGGAACATACGGCTTCAGCTGCACGTCTCCATTACCTTCGGTTTTCTGCCAACTTTTTCACCCCGCTCCAAGTCTACCCACATGTTTTCATCTCCTCTTCACATGACCTCCTCCAAGTCACCCTTGCACTGACGACCAACTCGCCGCTTCCCATTCGGTCGGGTTCCACTCGAGCAATAGCTTGTCTAGTGATGTCACTTGATGGTTTGTTTTCTCAGAGTATGGCCAGCCAATCCATCTCCATTTCTTCCTGCCTAATTGTTTCACAATCGGTTCCTGGTTGGTTGGTTCGCTCATTGCCAGGGGTCCATGTTGCTGATGTTTTCTGTCCGGTCATCTGATCTTGAGTGGTATTGAGCGAAGACAGGTGTTAATGAAGGTCTGTAGTTTGTTTGAAGTGCTCTTTAAGACGCGCCAAGTCTCTGATCCGTATAGAGTAGCACTGACTGACTTCACATTGGAGTTAGCAATCCGGATCTTATTTTTGATGGTGAGGACTGTTGACGTCTACACAGACTTGAGAGTAATGAAAGCTTGTCTTGCTTTTCCAGCATTATATATATATATATATAATTTTAATTTGTTATTTTTTCTTTAAATATTTTACAGATTGGGATTCTTATTCCTATCGACTGTGCACCTGTATCACCGATTAGCCTTGATCGATTTACAGACAGGTCCAGCTGTACGTCGTTCTGGAATTATTCCATCCTCCTCCTCTTCCTCTTCGTATTCTCCATCTATGGCTTCTTCTTCGTCTTCTTCAGAATTGCATAATTTAGAATTACAACTAACTCATTTAACACAACTTGCATCAAAAATGGTCGATGGTCTTAGTCATTTAACCTCGGAACTGAATAGTCTAATGACGATGTCTTCTAATCCAGAGAAATTTTCACCTGATCAGTCATCGTTAAACACTTAAGTCATAGTGTTTGTGTGGATGTGTGTGTGTGTGTGTGCTGAAATTAGTTCTCTGTACACCAACTGACTGACTGACTTACTCACCCACCCACACAGATATACACACATCACACTGAATACATAATAATATAATGTTGCATTTTATTCTTGCATTCTTGTTCTTGTTGTTCTATCTTTGTAAGATAGTAAGACACTACAACAGGCATGCATAATATGCCTCGAATATAATATGAGAGGCAGGCACACACACGAACAGTCGTCAAATTCTGCATATTGTTGTACATATCCTTGTTAAACTGTTTTGTCTCTCTTCGAATTATCTTTGCACCGACCGTTGCCTGGCCATTTATCTATCTCTCTCTCTCCACAAATTCTGTGAAGTTAATCTCATTTTGCTTATTTACACGTCTGTTTTGATCAAATTCAACTCCATGTATGTATACACACACACACACAAATACACACATACACATAAACAAACACAGTTACCCATTGGCAAATAAAATACGCGCACACTACTCTACCTCCCTCCTCTTTACTTCGTTGATTTTTTTCAAGAAACTATGAGATGAACACTTCTTTCCCCCCTTTATTTAAAAAATTTTTCTCGGTTATTTTCTCTCTCTCTCTCTTTTCATTGATTTACAGTTATCATTTTTACTTTCTCATAATGTTATTTTCGTTGTTCTCATTATATTAATACATAGAAGTCCTTGTGTGTGATCGATGATGTTGATTTCAAGCAAGAGAGAACAGATTTCTTATGCTATACACACACACACACACTTCCCTACACACCATTTTTTTTGTTTATTTCTCTTCTCAGGGTATGATGCATGATCCCTGCTTGCATCTATCTACGCTTCTTTTCCTTCTTCATCTTCGCCTTCTTGAAGCGTTTCGTCTGTTCTATCGTCCGTTTCTAATATCTTTTATTTTTTTGTTTTGCTTTGTTGTTGATATTTTTAAATTGTACGCGCCCGTATAATGTTGTTTTCCCTCCACTCCATCTTTTTCAATGTTCAATATGGAAATCTCATTATTTTAATTATTATTATTATTATTATCATTACTTCTTTTTGGTGGTACTAATATGAATTTAAAAAAGAAGAACTGGTAATTTCATATTTCTTCTGTATATGCAATATTTTTTATTTATTAATAATAATATTATTATTATTACTATATACTCATAGAACTACTAGTGTTATTGTGTTCATCATCATTATAAGTAGTATGTGTTGTTGTCTGTCTGTTGTACATTTCGTTCGTTATATATGTGGTAGTTGTAATCATTTGAAAGCAACACTGTTCACTTGCCAAATTTTGTCTTTCATAGTACGGTATATTATTACTATCATATTACTGCTAGTAATGTTCTTTGTTGTCTCTGTGTGTGTGTGTGTGTGTATGTGTTGCTTTTATTTTATATTTTCTCTACTTTTTGATTTATTTCCTTGGTTAAATTTGTTATATTTATCCTCCTCCTCCTCCTCCGCATTGATCTTGGCTAATTTTGTTTTGTTTTGTTTTCTTTATTTTTCATTTGAGATCCGATCTGTGTACCTGCATTGGTCTAAATTGTACTTCGTCTTCATAGCACCTATTACTATTACAACTATTCCTATTGCTACGATGTATATTTATGGTTTTCTTTAAAGATGACCATCAGTGTATTCATGCTGTTGATACTATCGATAGTTACTGTTCTCATTATTGTTATAATTATTACTCGCCTACTATTATTGTCAGTAATAGTAGTAGTAGCAGCAGCAGCAGCGGTATTGTATATTTGTGTGATAAGATTAAAGAACAGATTATAGAAAAAGCCTTCAAATATAAGTATAAGTCAATAATTCAGAGTTATGATATATTGAATTGTATCTTATAATTTTATAAAAATGCCCCTCTCTGTATGTGTGCGTGTGTGTGTGCGTCTATCCGGAAGTCGATTTCGTTATAAACACAGATATTACTTAAGGGGGTGAGGAAGCATTGCAGGACATCGGGATTTTCTGATTATTCTCAGTGGATTATTATTATTGTTATTATTATATCCTTTAATTCCTAGAGGAACATAGGGCTTAAGCCGCTCACGTCTCCATTGCGTTCGGTTCTCTGCCAACTTTTTCACCCCGCTCCAAGTCTGCCCATATGCTTTCATCTCCTCTTCACATGACCTCCTCCAAGTCACCCCACCTTTGCACTGACGACCAACTCGCCGCTTCCCATTCGGTCGGGTTCCACTCGAGCGATAGCTTGTCTAGTGGTGTCACTTGATGGTTTGTTTTCTCAGAGTATGGCCAGCCAATCCATCTCCATTTCTTCCTGCCTAATTGTTTCCCAATCGGTTCCTGGTTGGTTGATTCGCTGATTGCCAGAGATCCCTGTTGCTGATGTTTTCTGTCCGGTCATCTGATCTTGAGTGGTATTGAGCGAAGACAGGTGTTAATGAAGGTCTGAAGTTTAATATTATTAAGTTCCTTATCGAGGCATTCATCCGAGCAAATCGCTCTTGCTCTGTGAGCCAAGCATTTTATCAGATTGCGTTTTTATTTCAATGGCACAAAGCTGAGAAAATGTGTTGTGTGCTGACCCGTTGATGTAGGTTTTCTGTATACACTTCCTCTAATTGTTTCATCCTCTTTTCTGGTCATAAGAACGTCTAAAAATGAATTACTAGAGTCTTTTTTCTTTCTAAATAGTTAAATTTATTGCAGGATGTACCTCATTAAGTTTATCCAGGACGCTGTTTGCTTCCCTCTCGTTTTTCATGATCAAAAATGCATCATCCATGTACCGACAATAAAATTCGAGTTGATTAATAACTGCTATGTACTGGTCGAGAATTTAATAGTCCTGACGCAATAAAGACGGAAATCAGAAGACCACTAGGTTTGCGATGATACTTCTATTTTCCAAAACACCAGGAGAATCAATAATATCACACAAGTGTGTGAGAGTAAAATATATATGAATGTCCGAACAAGTGTGTGAGCGAATATTCAAAATGAACAAATCAATAGACAGTCTTAACATGATTGGCTAATTATGATGGTATATCGATCCATGTATACATAGTTAAATATAACCGACTGTCAAACAAACACACATATTATATGGATACATATCACCTCCCCTTTTGAGAAGATTGATGATTAATAGCGTGTTTTCCTGGGGGTTTATCTGGAACCTTTGAGCTTGTTGTTGACGTCTGTCGCTTCGTCTGCCTGTTGGGTTTGCGGCTTCAGCTTCGTCCGGAATTGTCTGGCATTTTATGTTTCTTGGCTGATTTGCATAGAGAATTTAGTCGGACATCAGCCAGATGCAAACGATCGAACCAATCAAGTCCCAAAAGATTTAAATCACTCTTGGTGACGTAGCAAATTCCTGTGAATTTGGTATTGCGGAATGAAACAGAACATTTGAGTTCACCAATTAGTTTGAGCCGCCCACCACAGGCGCTGACAAGAGTCTGGGAAGTATTTGCGTTTGGTGGTCTGCCAAGTCTTCCTGTGATAATCACAGAGGGATTAGCTTGACTAATATAGTATCTAAAGTCTTAGGCTCAATAATCATGCGTAGACTGAGTGGTGCTCGGGAAGCACAAACACGAGAGAGCCAGGCAGGCTTTAGACCAGGAAGAGGGTGTATTGATCATATCTTCACCCTCCGACAGATTCTAGAACATAGGCATTCCTACCGGCGTCCAACAGTCATTATATTTCTTGACCTAAAGGCAGCATTCGACTCTGTCGATCGGGAAGTTCTCTGGAGATGCTTGGCTGTAAAGGGAATTCCAAGAAAATATATTGCACTGATTAAGGCACTCTACTCGTACTCATACAGCCAGGTGAGGGCTTACGGCGAGCTGTCATCTGAACTGATGACGACCAGTGGTGTCCGTCAAGGATGCCCATTATCTCCTTTTCTATTCAACTTCATCATAGATGTGTTAATGGACTTAACCCTAGGTGACTTCAGCGACTCAGGGATTGACTTGCTACCGGGGAATAATCTCGTTGACTTGGAATATGCAGACGATATAGTCCTTCTAGGCGAAGACGCTGACGAAATGCAGAGTCTTCTAAACACCTTGAGCCGCAATCTACGAATGTTTGGCATGCGATTCGCTCCCGCCAAATGCAAGATGATGTTACAGGACTGGACTACATCGACGCCTAGTTTAAAAATAGGAAGTGAAGTGGTAGAGCACGTTGACCGCTTCACTTATTTGGGAAGTACCATCAGCCCCAACGGGTTGATCTCTGACGAAATCTCAGCACGAATACAAGGGGCTCGTTTCGCATTTGTTAGTTTACGCCGACTCTGGCGTAGACGAGATGTTCGACTATCGACCAAAGGGCGGGTGTACTGCTCATCAGTCCGCTCCGTCCTCCTTTATGGTTGTGAGACCTGGCCACTGAGAGTGGAAGACATGAAAAGACTAGCTGTCTTTGATCATAGGTGCCTGCGTTCTATTTCCCGTGTAAAGTGGCATAATAAGGTGAGCAACATTGAGGTTAGGCGTAGAGTTCTAGGTAAACAGGGGAAATCAATCGACGAAGTCGTGAAGCTACAAAGACTGAGATGGTTAGGACATGTGTTACGTATGCCAAGCCATCGCCTCCCTCGACGAGCTATGTTAGCGGATATAGGGTCAGGCTGGAAAAAAGCTAGCGGCGGTCAAACAAAAACTTGGCATCAGTCAATGAAATCCACAACAGTTGGTCTAAGCCACGTAGAAAGGTGTAGACTTCCAGGCTGGGGTCCTCGGGACGGTAAAAATCTATGGTTGGAAACAATTGGTGACATGGCTCAAAACCGTTCTCAGTGGCGCAGATGCATCCACTCCCTGTGACTTATGATCTTCAATGAAACTGTTTTGTATTTCTTTATTACTCCTTTGTCTCACACCTCTGCTCACTGTTTCTATTATGCTTTTCTTGTACTTTCTTCTCTTGCTTCGCGTGCTACACGGAATGTGGCGACTTGAACTTCCGCACATTTGTGCAAAGTTCTATGTCGAAAACAGACAGACAGACAGGTCTGCCAATATCATTCCAAAGTTTCTCTGATATAACAGTAATATCAGAGGCAGTATCTAGCTGCAGATGTGTATCATGACCATTCATCTGAAGATCAAGATATTTCCGCATACCTGGTGTTGTGACTTGACAGGTTGCGACTAGACTCATTGACTTTTTGGGGATTAAGGACCAACAGTTTGTCGAGCTTTCGCTGGATTTTGATATCTGAGTTTGCATGGCTGGCAAAATCCATTTTTATGACCGATGATTTTGCACTTGCTGCAACGATGATTTTTGTATGGACAGGACTTTACAAAGTGCCACGCGCCACAATGCCAGCATGTTGGTGATGGGATCTTCTTTGTAGTATTCTGTGAAGTTGGACGAGTATGTGTAGATTTCCGCGGGACATTAAGAGAAGGTGGGTCAGGACTGGATGATGAGAGATTTTTGCTCTTTCGTAATGCATGAATATCAGAGCTTCTCGAAGGTGTTGATTCGACCAGGTTTGTGTCTTTCTGCAAATTAATCAGCCGTTGACATTCATCAGCTATGTCATGTAATGTTAACTTAGGATTTTGTTCTAGCTGATTGAGCAGTCGAGTTCGGATATCTGTGAAACGAGGAGATTGAAGACTGCATATGAGAATCAAGGCTTTGAATTGATCATCTGTTAAGGACCCGAGTCGAAATCTCTCACATTCTCGGTTGACTGTGCCAACATGAGTAAGAAAATCGTCATTTTCATTCATTGTCAGCTTGAGGCAACGATAACGTATGCTGAATAATGAGGAGTGGTCTCAAAAATGTTCACTCAGAAGATTTATTGTATCATCGAAACACTTGTCACGTGGTTTCTGGGGTAAAATTAGGTTTCAGTACCGTTCATATTCTGCGGGACCCAATTTACGTAATAACACTTGCACCTTCCAAGCATCGTCTTGTGAGGCGAGATCAACTGTGAATAAATCCTCATATCGTTGATACCATGTGTCAAAAGTGACATTAGCATCTGGGTCATAATTGAACTGTGAAATACTATTCACAATGCCGTCGACAGATGGTAGCATGGTATGATTGGGATTGCTTGAAGGTGAAGTTGGACTAGTCTGTTGGTTGACGAACATTTCCATTAATTTCATTTGTCGTTCAAGTAGTAATTCCAATTTAGAAGGATCCATATTTTTCCCCGTCGCCAAATTATTGTTATGTACTGGTCGAGAATTTAATAGTCCTGACGCAATAAAGACGGAAATCAGAAGACCACTAGGTTTGCGATGATACTTCTATTTTCCAAAACACCAGGAGAATCAATAATATCACACAAGTGTGTGAGAGTAAAATATATATGAATGTCCGAACAAGTGTGTGAGCGAATATTCAAAATGAACAAATCAATAGACAGTCTTAACATGATTGGCTAATTATGATGATATATCGATCCATGTATACATAGTTAAATATAACCGACTGTCAAACAAACACACATATTATATGGATACATATCACCGAGAACAGAGTGTCAAACAAACACACATGTTATATGGATACATATCAATAACATCCTTCAAAGCCCCATTTTCTAGTTTCGTAAGGAAAATGTCGGCTAGAAGTGTTGTGAGTTGAATTAATTTTGATTGTTTAATTTCATCACGAATAAACAGCGGTTAAAGAAATCAACGAAAACCAGGGAGTACTGAATGTCTGTTTCTCTCTGTTTTGGGAGTCTTCAACAGTGTGCAACACGGCCCCATCAGCGATCGAGCCCAGAACTTTCAGGTTTCGAGACCAAGCTCGTTAAAGATTCAGCCACTTGGGCTGAATGGCATTCATTGACCTGTGAATCCTAACCTTCTCAGTACCGTGATACAGCACCACCCTCAACAGTGGCTTTGGTGAGTGTCAGT